CTACTATAAATAGAAAGAAATTAATTGGCCAACTAACATATATATAGAAAAAATTAGCTGGGCATGGTGGCGCATGCCTGTAGTCCCAGCTACTCTGGAAGCTGAGGCAGAAGGATTGCTTGAGCCCAGCAGTTTGAGGTTGCTGTGAGCTAGGCTAACGCCACGGCACTCACTCTAGCCTGAGCAACAAAGCAAGATTCTGTCTCAAAAAAAAAAAAAGAGAAGCAAGTGGGTTACATCCCTCAATATCCCATTCTACTCTTGTGTTTTGACTTAATGACTTTGTTATATGAATTTAATTATTAATAAGTCCCCAATAGCTTTGCCTGTCTTATTTTTAATGTTTCAAGGTAGCTAGAATTGTTAATAATTATTCATTTGTTTATACCCAATAACTTCAAAGGGGCAGAATGGACAAAAGAAATACCAGATCAATCTAAAGAGTCATTCAGGACCTATCCACGTGCTGCTTATAAATAAAGAGTCCAGTTCATCTAAGCCTGTGGTTTTTCCTGTTCCCCCACCCGATGACCTCACACAATCTTCCTCTCAGTCCTCAACTCCAGTGACTCCACAGAAATCCAACACAGCAACTCAGAATCAGCCTGAGCAACATGTTTCTGAAAGAAGCCAGAATCTCCAGCAGACACCAGCTACAGATATATCTTCCGGTGCGTTCCTAGCCTTTGTTTTATAAATTAGAGAGGGGAAAATATGAATACAGATTGAGTATCCCTAATCCAAAGTGCTTCGGACCAGAGGCGTTTTGAATTTTTTTTAAATTTTGGAATATTTACATATACATAATGAGATATCTTGGGGATGAGGCCCAAATCTAAACACAAAACCCATTTATGTTTTATACACACTTTATACACATAGTCTGAAGGTACTATTATAACAATATTTTTAATAATTTTATGTGCACAAAACAAAGTTTTGACTGTGTATTGACTGATCCATCACATGAGGTCAGGTGTGGAATTTTCCACTGTGACATCATGTTTATGCTCAAAGTTTCAGATTTGGGATTCTGAGATTAGGGATGCTCAACCTGTACTGTAGTCACACACCACATAATGTTTCGGTCAATGATGGACCATGGTTACAGCGGTCCCATAAGGGAGCTATGTAATGGAGTAGGCCATGCCGTCTGGTTTGTGTAAGTACAGTTTGTGTGATGCATTTCTCTGAAAACATGCGTCATTAATCAACACATGACTGTATATTAAACAAGTTGGAAAGCTTTTCTGAATTTGTTAGTTGTGATGTTAATTCTGTTATCTAATACAGAAAGCAAAATAGTAAGCTTAATCAACAAGTATTCATTTAGTGTTTCCTGTTTGCCCAGCACTGGGATAGGTAGTTATGCGAAAAGTTTAAAAACAAATCCTGTGTTTATATTACTAGATGTGTGTCTTGTACACACACTCAGAAATACTCAATCAAATACAATATTAACCTTGTTAAGAATGTATATAGAACTATGAATACTGAGAAATGGAAGAATTTATGGGCCAAGGTTTGCTATTTTCCTTAGGATTCCATTTTAGTGATCAATTAAGCCAAAACTATTCTTTTCCCTTTTACTCTTTACATGTGTCAGCTTTTATTTGAAGTTTACTTGTTAAGGTTCTTTTATCTCTGAGTATGTCTAGTATAAATGAAATATATTCTATCTACCTTTAAGAAAAATCAAACTTGTATAGAACATAGTAACTTATGCCTCCTGTTTCTCCATACTATTTGTTGTACTTTTTATTTGGGAAGCATAGTTTTATAAAGTTGATAAATGGTCTCAATTCCAATTATTTGGGAAATCTTGCCTTCCTAAATTCCTTGCATTTCATCTATGAAAAGATAAATAGCTAAAACATTAAAGACTGGGTATCAGGAGTAGGAAGCACAACTCCTAAATTTATATATAAATTACAAATTGTATATATATATATATATATAATTTTATAATTTATAATTATTATAATAGTAATATAAGCACATTATATTATTTATATTATAAATATAATTAGTTATAAGTAATTTATAATTTACATGTTATATAATATACATATATAATAATATAATTATATATAAATCATAAATTTATATATGTTATATATAATTATATAAAAATTTCCTTGTCACTCAGTCTTTTCCGCTGGTTACATGGCTAGGTATTTTGCAACTCCTTACTGATTCCAAATACAGGGGGTTCATGGTAGGCATTTTCTCAATGAGTGATGAATGGATTAGTTGTACCAATATAGATGTCATATTGCAGATAATTAAAAACTATATTGTGCATAATCCAAATTATTTATTTTTACCTCTCAGATGTGTCTCATTACTTTTGTGAGAATTTACAGTAGTTAAAATTAAAGCTAAAAAGGTCTAACTGGACATGGAATGTTTTTAAGTATCTTTTTGCCCCTATAAATATTTCTATACTATTTGCCACTTAGATGCACAATAGAATAGTTCTTAAAAAGTTTACAATTGGGATAAAGCAGGCAAGCTTTACATGGTTCAGTGTAGACATTGTACATTGGCTTCCATATAGCTTTATATTTAGAAATACTAGGAAAAGTAACTTTGGGCCAGATTAGAGAGGGCCACGAATATCAGACTCAGGACTTTTAGCCAGTAAGCCAGTGATGATTTGTGACCAAGGAAGTAGCATAATTAGAGCTATACAGTGCTGAGCACAGGATAACATGGTTGGGAAAGAAGATGCTTTTGGCCTTGGGAGGCAAAGGAGATCAGAGGCTACGGAGATTGAAGATTAGATAATTGCACCTATGTAACAGAACATTAAGGCTGAAATAGTGATGAGAGTGGGAGTGGGAAAAGAAATAACAGATTTGAGGAATATTATTTAAGAAAAATAAGCAGCATCTGATGTGTATGAGATCTGGAGATAAAGCTAACAGGAGGAATGGAAAGTGATGTTAAAGTTTTAAGGTTGGGTGACTGGGAGAATTACAGTACCACTGACTCTGTTAAACTGAGTTAGTTTTGGGAATAGGATGATGAGTCTTCTGGTTTTCATCTTGGGTTTGGAAGTATAAAAGTAATGCCAGACACAGAGTAGGTGTCATGATCATTTGATCTTTCCACAAAGTACCAGGACTTTAACTTTGCAATGTCACTTAATCTGCTGCTATAGCTACCTGTGTTTAAATATAAGTGTCTTTTACTGTTGAAATATGTAAACAGAACTGTAACAAAACTTTATTACATTTCTGTTTCCAGCAGGATCTATTAGTGGTGATATCATTGATGAGTTAATGTCTTCTGATGGTAAGTAGGTTAAAATTTTACTACCTTATACATCAATAATGCTTTTCTACAATTTATAAATGACACATGATTTAAAAGAAATGAAGAACTTACATTTTCTAACTGCTTTACTATGATGATTCATGAAAATCCTCCCTTAATAATACTTTAGAGTAAATGACAGGCATCCTTCAGAATTTATTTTTCTTTGCCTGCATATCGATGGAAAGGAATCCATTTGGGGATACTTCTCACCTTCATTGAATAAATTTCTCAACTGTTGGCACACCAGCCCATTCCACTCCTGAAGAATCTGGCCCAAGAACAGTAAAACAGCATGTCTAAATCAACAGGTGATCAGAACACCCACTTTTGTAAATAATCTTACCGTGGCCAATTTCAAGGTGCTAATGTGAGTCATTTAACTGTTAGTAGTAGCATTAGCCATGTTGTCATCTAATCTGAAAAATTCTTAAAAGTCAGTTAGCCACAATGTGCTAATTATTTTGTGAGTTCTTGGATTCAGAGTTCTAGTTCCTAACAAATATAACAGAGACCTAGCAAATGGTTCTACTTACAGATATACTAAACATGTATGTAGAAGCAGGCAATGTCAGCAAATTTAGTAAGTGTAGTTCATAGTTGTTTTCAAAGTGGCAAACAAACTTTGATCAATGTTTTTAATCATATATCTTAGTGATAAGGTCAATAAAAATTTCAACCTCTGTTTCTCAAGTTAATACCAAAAATCAATGTATAAATTGTAATTAAATGAAAATCTCTTAAAATATATATTAAGTCATTAATTTGATCACTTCTTATACTTAAAAAAATTCATGTGTCACACAGCTAACAATTTAATTTGGATTGATGTATTTAAGCATATTTTATGTTAAGTATCATTTGCAAAATATAGAAACCATCTTTAACATTGAATTTACTTTTTGTTTGCAGTGTTTCCTCTCTTAAGGCTTTCTCCTACCCCAGCAGATGACTACAACTTTAATTTAGATGATAACGAAGGAGTCTGTGATCTGTTTGATGTTCAGATACTAAATTATTAGATTCCATGGAAACTTGGGACTGTTATCTACCTCTAACTGTGTAACATTTTAGACTTCTTAATAACCTAAGTATTTACAATAATGAATGTAACATCTTTTTAGTTCACTGACACTGAAGTATTTTTCCCTAATACTTTCTTTTTTACTTCACAAAACTTCAACCATAAAAACATAGGGCTCTTATTGCTTCATGGGAAAAGTGATTTAATATCCACCAACTTCCCTATCTCCCAAAACCCCAAGTAATTCCATTCTGGGATTTCAACTTTTCTTCCAGTTCTAAATTTTTCTGGTTTTTTTTTTCCTCTTATGAGAGGAAAGTTAAAGTAGACTACAGGTCAGCAAAAACAAAATAAGTTGGTCAAGGGCTCATCACTTGTCTTATATTTTTACTGCCATGAAATTGTATTTCTTGGATTGTATGTCCTTCAATCCAAACAGACATTCACTGCCACTTGTAAAGTGAAGGATGTAAATGAGGATATGTAACTGTTTCAGTGAACAGATTTTGTGAAGTGCCTTCTGTTTTAGCACTTTAAGTTTATCACATTTTGTTGACTTCTGACATTCCACTTTCCTAGATTATAGGAAAGATCTGTTTATGTAGTTTGTTTTTGAAATGTGCCAATGCCTGTACATTAACAAGATTTTTAAAAATAAAATTGTATAAAACATTTAATTTATTGGTCTTTTGGGGGAATTAGATATATCACCACTGTATTACAACTGAGCCATTAATCTTGTAGCTTCATCAACATTAGCTGGTTCATTTTCATGACGTGGCTGAGGAATCTGAAGGGAAAAAGTGTTATATTTAAAAACTTAGATAACAACAGAAAACAAAAATGACTTGTATATAATCTGTTATCCAATTTAATTTCTTTCAGTCATACCTTTGAAGTACAACAAATTATTATATTCAGACTCACTGTTTTAGAGTCTGAATATGACTAAACATGTTATATATACTAGAGAGCCAAGTACACTAGAGAGCAGAGTACTAAAAATTACATCCAACTTACAGGCTTGGAATATTTGGAGTTTAATTTCTTAGCCCTCAATTTATAAGACATAAAAAAAAAGCAAATGATTTCTACTTACCAATTCTTTCTGCGCAGGTTCAAGAGAAAGGCGTTTTGAGAAGTGTGCAAGTTCCTTTTGTATATTTACAAAAGCTTTATTCACTCTGTTAACTTTTTCATCATTCATAATGTTTATCTTTTAAGAAAGAAAAAAAGCATTAATCTATGCTCTCATAACCATTAAAGATAAAATATATTCAATCTTAACCTTGTTAAACCTAAAAATCTAAAAACTCTTATCAACCAATTGGGGATAATTCACACTGAAATTTTTACTCTTATTGGGAAATTTCAGACAAAAGGTTTTGGTTTTTCAAAAGTAAGATATGTGGATATGCCTCACACTTAGACTTTACTGATATAGGAAGGCCAATATATGTGACTGTGATAACTTGACAACATATAATTAGATATATATATTTGGTCTTTATCCCCATTTCCTGTCATAGAACTTCTAAAATCCTTGGAATCTCCAGAGGGATAAATGTGTCTTTTGAATGCTAATGAGATGGCTTATGGCTAGGGCCTCATTCCATTGCTTCAGGATAGGGGCCGGTCACCTGAGGAACCCTCCCAGGATTAGAGGATTGGGACTTTTAGCTTGGGGAGGGGAGTGGGAGGGGCAATGAGGGTTAATCACTAATGACCAATAAGATTTAATCAATCATGCCTATGTAATGAAACCTCCATAAAACACCAAAAGAATAGGGTTTGGAGAGCATCTGGATAGCTAAACACAAAAGTCCCTGGGGAGTAGCATGCCCAGAAAAAGCAGGGAAGCTCCATGCCCCTTCCTGCATACACCCCTCATCCTAGGCATTTCTTAGGTTAGTGCAAAAGTAATTGTGGTTTCTGACTGAATTTTAAATTATAACTGGGCTCAAGCAAATTATAACTAGGCTTAATCAAAATAGGAACCATTCCAATCAAGACATTTTTGCCAACAAGAAATAACTTTGTTTATTCCTATAGTGTAAAAATCCGTACTGTGGGATTCCACAAACTCTTGGAAAGCATTTTCTGCATCCTGTTGTTTGTGGAAGTGTTTTCCCTGCAAAAAGTTGTTGAGATGCTTGAAGAAATGGTAGTCGGTTGGTGAAAGGTCAGGTGAATATGGCGGATGAGGCAAAACTTCATAGCCCAATTCGTTCAACTTTTGAAGCATTTGTTGTGTGACCTGTGCTCAGGTGTTGTCGTGGAGAAGAATTGGGCCCTTTCTGTTGACCAATGCAGGCTGCAGGTGTTATAGTTTTTGGTGCATCTCATTGATTTGCTTTGCATACTTCTCAGATGTAATGATTTCCCTGGGATTCAGACTGCTGTAGTGGATCAGACCGGCAGCAGACCACCAAACAATGACTATGACTTTTTTTTTTGGTGCAAGTTTGGCTTTGGTAAGTGCTTTAGAGCTTCTTGGTCCAACCACTGAGCTGGTCCTCGCCGGTGGTCGCATAAAATCCACTTTTTGTCTGCACGTAAGAATCTGATAGAGAAATGGTCCATTATTGTTGCATACAATAAGAGAAAGATGACACTTCAAAACGATTTTTTTGATTTTCGGTCAGCTCATGAGGCACTGACTTTTCTAGCTTTTTCACCTTTCTAATTTGCTTCAAATGCCGAATGACTGTAGAATGGTTGACATTGAGTTCTTCAGCAGCTTCTTGTGTAATTTTAAGAGTATCAGTTTCAGTGATTCCTCTCAACTGATCGTTGTCAACTTCTAATGGCCAGCCACTGCACTCCTCATCCTCAAGGCTCTCATCTCCTTTGCCAAACTTCTTGAACCACCAACCACTGCACTGTACGTTCGTTAGTGATGTTGTGAGTTGTCTCCGCTGCTTTACGACCCATTTTGAACTTGTATAAGAAAATTGCTCAAGGCCGGGCGCTGTGGCTCACGCCTGTAATCCTAGCTCTTGGGAGGCCGAGGCGGCGGATTGCTCAAGGTCAGGATTCAAACCAGCCTGAGCAAGAGGGAGACCCTGTCTCTACTATAAATAGAAAGAATTAATTGGCCAACTGATATATATATAAAAATTAGCCGGGCATGGTGGCGCTGCCTGTAGTCCCAGCTACCTGGGAGGCTGAGGCAGAAGATCCCTCGAGCCCAGGAGTTTGAGGTTGCGTGAGCTAGGCTGACGCCACGGCACTCACTCTAGCCTGGCAACAAAGCGAGACTCTGTCTCAAAAAAAAAAAAAAAAAAAAAAAGAAAATTGCTCAGATTTGCTTTTTGTCTAACATCATTTCCACAGTCTAAAATAAATATAAGTGGCAAGCAATCAGTCAATAGCAAAAAAACCATAAAGCAAGAAATGTGCATTAAAATGATGTATAGGCCAGGCATGGTGGCGCACGCCTGTAATCCTAGCACTCTGGGAGACCGAGGTGGGCAGATTGCTCAAGGTCAGGAGTTCAAAACCAGCCTGAGCGAGACTCCATCTCTACTAAAAATAGAAATTAATTGACCAACTAAAAATATATATACAAAAAAAAATTAGCCGGCATGTGCGCATGCCTGTAGTCCCAACCTCTTGGGAGGCTGAGGCAGTAGGATCGCCTGAGCCCAGGATATTGAGGGTGCTGTGAGCTAGGCTGACGCCACAGCACTCACTCTAGCCTGGGCAACAGAGTGAGACTCTGTCTCAAAAAAAAAAAAAAAGGCCGGGCGAGGTGGCTCACACCTGTAATCCTAGCTCTCTGGGAGCCGAGCGGGCGATTGCTCGAGGTCAGGAGTTCGAAACCAGCCTGAGCAAGAGTGAGACCCCATCTCTACTATAAATAGAAAGAAATTAATTGCCAACTTATATAGAAAAATTAGCTGGGCATGGTGGCGCATGCCTGTAGTCCCAGCTACTCGGGAGGCTGAGGCAGTAGGATTGCTCGAGCCCAGGAGTTTGAGGTTGCTGTGAGCTAGGCTGATGCCACGGCACTCATTCTAGCCTAGGCAACAACACGAGACTGTCTCAAAAAAAAAAAAGATGTATAAATAACATTTATTTAAGAATGTATTCCAGTATCAAACAGCAAATTTCAACAATGCTAAAACTGCAATTACTTTTGCACCAACCTTAATAAAATCCTTTATAACATAACATAATAAACGAATAAAAGTAAGTAGCATTTTCCTGGGTCATGTGAGCTGCTCCAGCAAATTAATCAAACCCAAAGAGGAGATTATAGGGGTTAGAAGTTCAGGTAAAACAACCTGGAGCATGCAACTGGCATCCCAAGTAGGGGGCAGTCTTGTGAGGACTGAATCCTCAACCTGTGAGGTCTGATGCCATCTCCAAGTAGACAGTGTTAGATCTGAATTACATTAGAGGACACCCAGCTGGTGCCTGCTGGAGATTCACCTGCAAAATTGCTTGGTATGAGGAAAACCCCCACAAATCTATCAGAAGTGTTGAGTGTCTGTGTGAGTGAAAGAACAGGAGAAACTGAGTTTGGTTTTTCCTATATTCTTACAGTGACCATGATTTTTCTGGGCTATGGTGCTGTCATCCCTTATCTATGCAAAAAGAAACCTAGATCAGATACTTTTAATGTCTTCTAACAGTATGTCTCTGAATCCTTCCTTGACCTTTTTGTCTTAATGGAAGTTCCCTGAGGACAGCTTCCCTTGCAGTCCTTCTCTTTTGAATATGAGGTTGGGGTGGTGGTCTTGTTCTTCACTGCTGCTAGCAAACAACTCCCTCAAAACCTTCAGCTCCTTTCCACCTTATGCTGCCCCCTGCTATGGAACTCTCTAAGATCCTACCTATCAGCACATGTAAAGGTTCTAGTACCCCTTATCCAAACAAAATAATCTTCCTCAAGTATACCAAGCTTTTCCATAGCTCAGAGCGTCTACATTTGCTATAATCTCTGCCTAGCACACACTGCTCCCAACACTTCCCAGTTCTTTATCATTCTGGTCTTGGTTTCAGTGTCACCTATGAGCAAAAATCCTATGTAAAATTATCATGCCCAAACCCCTATCACATCATCCAGCTTTATTTCATTTTTATTTTTTTTTAAGCCTCTAAACATTTGGCATATTTCATTTTTAGCATTTACAAAATCATAGAACTGCTCAACCAAAAAGCATAACTGAGCTAGCTCATGAAAGTTGCAAGATAAAATGTTACACTCCTATGGTCTATTATAATTACTGAGTCTTAAAGACCTGACTCCACATACTACCAACACTTGAAAACATTTTCTTAAGGAATTTTCTTGAATCTACTTAATCTTGATGAAGAGATTTCTCAAGTATTTTGAAATATAAACAAAGAAACCCCTTGTTAAATTTTGCATGTCACAAAAAAAAATATTTTAACAGCATTTTGAGTTTTGGATATCTTCAGACAGGTAAGAATTACTAAGCAGAAAATAGAATGGGTGCTCACTGACACCCCATGTCTTGTCTCTATTAAGAGGTTCTTGGATGTATGAGTGCAGAGATAAGAGCTGTTACCCATTCTGTGGTTTTTAATGATTTTTATGCTCTAAGAAAGCTATTAAACTGTTCTTTGGAGCTTCACATATTTGTAGTTAAAATGCTTTTTTCTTTTCTTACATTTGGATTCAAGGAAAGGTGGTTATCCTTCATTTTTTTAAAGCAAATGTTTAAAATCATTTTGCCTTTGTAGGAAAATCTAAAAACATTTTTTAAAAATAACATATCCAGTTCAGTAGCTTATAACTGTGCTTTGCTTTAAGTCAAGAGTACTTTATTAATACTCACCTTCTTAAGATTAGTGGTAACTGGTTTTGCTTTGTTTTTAGCCTTAAAGTTTTTTTGGCTGGCTATGTGAAATACATTCCTGGACTTCTGCCCTCTTAATTTGTTCTTGGCCATTGTCTAGGAAAGAAAGAAAATAAGTTCAATTAAATTCCCTACATTTATGAACTAAATCATTTTAAGTTTTAAAGTAAAGGTACCAATTGAGTCTAAAAAATTGCTTCTTACTCCTGATTATTTTAAAAGTTGCTGCATGTATTAAATTACTTCCATGTCTACTCCTACTATTGTACTAATTCTTTTCTGCATCCCCAGCACCTGGCCCACAGGGGGCACCCAATTTCTGCTGGTTGAATTCATTAATATTATCAGCACAACTACTTTTTGTCAGCAGCATCTCTGACGAGGTTAACCATTACCATCTATCCCTCTACTCGTCTACAAACTACATTATTCTGGTTCCTGTTATACTTTAGGGACTGACTCTGTCTCCTTCTTGACTTCTTTTTCATTCCCTTTCACCCCTTGTTCTTTCTCTCCTCTGCATCCCATCAAAATCAGTCTTTAATCCTCAATTCCCTGCCCCCCTCTTTCCCTTAAATTACTTTTTTTTTTTTTTTTTGGAGATAGAGTCTCACTCTGTTGTCCCAGCTAGAATGCAGTGTAGTCATCATAGCTCACAGCAATCTCAAATTCCTGGGATCAAGCAATCTTCCTGGCTCAGCCTCCCATGTATCTGGGACTATAGGCAGGCACCACCACACCCAGCTAATTTTTCTATTTTTAGTAGAGGCAGGGTCTCATTCTTACTCAAGCTGGTCTTGAACTCCTGACCTCAAGCAATCCTCCCACCTCAGCCACCCAGAGTGCAAGGATTACAGGTGTGAGCCACCATGCTCGGCCACTTAAATTACCTTTTTTTTTTTTTTTGAGACAGAGTTTGGCTTTGTTGCCCAGGCTAGAGTGAGTGCCGTGGCATCAGCCTAGCTCACAGCAACCTCAAACTCCTGGGCTCGAGCAATCCTACTGCCTCAGCCTCCCGAGTAGCTGGGACTACAGGCATGGGCCACCATGCCCGGCTAAATTTTTCTATATATATTTCTTTTTTTATTTATAGTAGAGACAGCTCTTGTTCAGGCTGGTTTAGAACTCCTGACCTTGAGCGATCCTCCCGCCTCAGCCTCCCAGAGTGCTAGGATTACAGGCATGTGCCCAGCCCAAATTACTTTTATGACTTCCATATCAACTCTAGGTGAATGGCTCTTGCCTTGAAACCTTGGATATGCATTAGGCTGGTAAATTCTACTTTAGAAACATCTCTCAAGTCTGTCTTTAATAATGCATGTGAAAACAATTTTAAAAATATTAATAGTTAACATTTATTGAGCTTTTACTGTATGTACAAGCACTATGCTAACATTTTATGTTTTAACTAATTTATACCTCACAACCACCACTTGTGGAAGGTACTATTATCTCACACCACACTTTTAGTAACCAGAGGATGCCAGGACTTAAAGTCAGGGAACTAGAGCAGAGCTAACATCATGTAATATTGCCTCTCATGTATAAATAAAAAAAGCAATACAAAAACATGGTGTGGTATTGCCTGGTTCTGGACAGAGTTACTGCTGTAGTCCCAAGGTCCATTAGGTTAGACCCTAGGTTGTCAAACTATGCCCATGGACCAATCATACCAGGATGCTTGTCTTTCTTTGTAACTGAAATTTAATCGGAACACAGCTTCGTCCACTCCATTATGTATTGTCTACTGCTGCTTTCCTATTTTGTAGGAAAGCAGCTGTAGACAATACATAGTACAACTATGACCCACAAAGCCTAAGATATTTACTGTCTCGCCTTTTATAGAAAGTTTGCCAACCCCTGGCTTAAGCCATCTGCACAAGTGGCTATCTGGCACAGTGTTATGTGATGAACCTTCCCAACGTTAAGAACCTTTAATGGCTCTCCTATTGCATAAGGGGCAATATGCCTTGGCCTAGAATATTACAGCTACCCTGAATCTAACCTAAATTTGTCAAACACATCTGCTACTTCTGTATACACACTGCACTAGCCAGTGTAGACTACTGATTGTTCTCTGAAGACGCCTTGCACATTCTTTCCTTTGCTTAATTAGTATCTCTTGACCAAAATTTTTCTCCTCCTTCAATGTAGCCTCAGAGGCAGCAACGCTTCTGAAACCCAATAATACTCCTACTTAAAAACATTATCATCACAGAAGCAGCAGAAAACACACAATAAAACTCCTCAAATTAAGTAATCTAAAACCCTCCTAATAGTAACCAAAACCCAATCACTCATCTAATATTTATTAGTGAATTATTGTATTCAGGTATGGTACAGAACTGATAAAAATGTGTGTATAGAGATTAGAAATATATGGAACAGAAACATCTAATGTTAAGTGATATATACAGGACATACACAAATAGACACGATAGGTATAATATGTATTACATATGATACTATATATAACACATATGGAACAAAAGTGTTGTTACAGATACACACAAGTGGGGACGCAAGAGGAAGTGGTCTACTAGAGTTGGGGACATAAGCAAGGTTCGCGGAGAAGGTAATACCCTTGTTGGTGGCGTATGGAAATTCTCTGATAACCACCACGTGGAAACTGCGATCAGAAAGCCCAAAACTGAGAACTCTGCCAAGAGAACTCTGCCCAACAACTACCAGGGTTTCGGCTTGGGGCCCAATAGGGCTGCGTGAGGCAGAGCCCGACAGAATCCAGCCTCCGGCTACCGCGGCACAAGGCCGGCCCAATCCCGCCCCAACCCCGGTAAACTTAACAACAACCCCCGGGAAAACTTCTTTATTACCCACTCACCAGACCTTGGATATCCGCGTGCACCTTCAGAAGCCCCAGGTGACGTCATCTGCACGCACAGGGTCCCGGAAGTTCCGGGAGGAGATAGCCAGTCAAAATTCCGCTCACGAGCCGCAGTTCCGCCCATCTAGTGTAGCCCCGCCCACAGAGCCCAGTCCATAAACAGAGCGAAGCCCCGCCCACAGAGCGTAATCCGCCCACAGAGCGGGGTTCCCAGCACGATGGCGTAGTCCCTCCTACAGAGCGCAGTCCATAAACAGAACGAAGCCCCGCCCACAGAGCGGGTTCCCACCCCGCTGGTGTAGTCCCGCCCACAGAGCCGAAGCCGTTCCACCGAGGAAGGTGGCTTAAGCAGAGCGGAGCCCCTCCCACAGGGCGCGGTTTTCCCCGACCGCGGGAACTCTAAGACTGGGTTGCGGGCATGTCCTCGGGTCAAGCGAGCTAGAAGTGTTAGGGAGCCAAGTCTCGACTTCCCCGGGTGGGTACATGTGCGGAAAACACCTGAGGTGCTCCTAAGACACTGAGCCGTGGGGACCGTCAGGCCGGTAGTCAGCTCTCAGCCACTGACTCCTGGCTGGCTCTGCCCACGCTCCCGGGAGGAGGCGCTGCGCACCTCTGGGTGGTTTCTGGCACGCCATTGGAAAGATCCTGAGCTATAATCTCTGAAAGGGAAATTAGTGATGCACTTTTCACTAAGTGAGAAATTAGAAATGCTGTTCTTATTGCAGCTTCTTTGTTTCAGAAAGAGAATTTCTGACAGCGCGGCAAAGGCACATGAAACTAGGGGCACAATAAAACATAAAAATAAAACAAGTACCAGGGAACTTAGAAAAACCTGGGAGAAACATTTTTGCCTTCCAGTTGTGTGTATCAGTGTATATGTTTTCTGATTAGGACATTCTGGGTTGAATAATTTAGAAAATTGACTCAATTACTCCAAAAGAATATTCTCACTAAAGCTAACAGTTTTCACATGTGTCTCCATTTGTTGAGGTCATAGGAAAAGCTGGATTTCAAACAAATGTAGTACTGACATTAATATGCCATTTTGTAACTTACAAAAAAGTTACTACCAAAATGAGGCAATCGTACCACTCCTCTTTTGCAAGTGAGAATAATACTAAGGCTCAAGAGTTTAAACCATTTGCGGGCACCCATACAAGTAGTAATTGACAAAGCAGATGTTTTTTAAAAGTAGGTGTTTAGTTTTTGTAAACTAGCAATTTCACAGATACATGTTTGCTGGCACTTGGTCCACTTTCCAACAAATCAGCCACTTGCCTACTTATAGAAAGATGAGCTATTTGAACAATAGATCGTTTTACTATGTTTATGTTCATCACAAAAAATTAAGAAATATATTAAAGAAAAGAATAATTACCTGTCAACATGTTTATTCAAACCTTTGTATTTTTTCTAAAGATAAACCTTTTTAGAAAAAAAACCTCAAAATGCTGGTATAAAATGCCTAAATGTGTGGGAGCAAAACCAAAGCTACAGAAAACCATTAGATTATTTTACAAGGCCAGAATTATTGACAAATACTGAAGCATATAGACAGGTATAATTATGGTTCCTTGAATGTGAAGTTATTAGTGTATATGTAGGAGACAAAGAAATGTCATGCAGTGACATTACAGTGTTTATGAAAACTTGTGGGCCTAGCTTTTCTTTTGAAATGGTAAGCTAGAGATACACTAAGAAAATAACATGGTTATACTGGCAAGAGCAGAGGCATTGTATAAGATACAAGCGAGGAGGCATGAAATTCTGTTTTACCTCTCCCACCAATAAACCAGAGTGACCGTAGAAAAGTTACTTCCTTTTTCTGTGCCTTTCTCATGGGTATATACATGGCCATTATACCCATTTCAGAGAACACTCATTATTTGCTCACCCCTTTCTGGGTAACCACGTTTCTCCCATTAAATAATCCTGGCTGGGCTGATAATTACACTTCTCCTCTGAGGATTTTCTGACTACGTTAGTGAAGAATGCTGTCTCTTGCATTTGGTGTCTTTGTGCTGGAATAATGTAAAATTGAGGCTACTAGTGGTTGTCTCCTCCAGCAAATTGGAGGAAGCCTGTCTATAGTGGGAGAAAATGCAAGCAACACACAAAAGAAAACAGCTGAACAGAACAAGAGGATCTGACGATCTCATTTGAGTCCTTGCACTGAGGTGAAAGAAAGACCCATCCCTCATGCTCTTAAACTACCTTGGGCTATTTTTTTGCTCAATCTCTTGTACCTGAAAGAGTTTTTTTAATCTTTCTCTAGTCTTACTCTGTCACCCAGAATAGAGTGCCGTGGCATCAGCCTAGCTCACAGTAACCTCAAACTATTTGGCTCAAGTGATCCTCCTGCCTCAGCCTCCCAAGTAGCTGGGACTATAGGCGTGTGCCACCATGCCCAGCTAATTTTTTGTTTCTATTTTAGTTGCCCGGATTTTTTTTTTTTTTTTCTGTTTTTAGTGGAGACAGGGTCTTGGCTGGTCTCCTGAGCTCAAGCAATCCTCCAGCCTCGGCCTCCCAGAGTGCTAGGATTAGAAGCATGAGCCACTGCCCCCAGCCTCTTTTTCTTTTTTTTTAGACACAGAGTCTTGCTGTGTCAGCCAGGCTAGAGTGCTGTAACATCAGCCTAGCTCACAGCAACGTCAAACTCCTGGGCTCAAATAATCCTCTTGCCTCAGCCTCCCAACTAGCTGGGACTACAGGCTTGCGCCACCATACTCAGCTAATTTTTTCTAGTTTTAGTAGAGGCGGGGTCTTGCTCTTGCTCAGGCTGGTCTCCAACTCCTGAGCTCAAGCATTCCTCCAGCCTGGGCCTCCCCGAATGCTAGGATTCCAGGCATGAGCCACCGCACCTGGCCCCTGAGAGTCTTGACTCTACTCCTGTCCTACCTGCTTCATAGGATTATTGTGCAGAGTTAATGACATACAAAACATGAACGCCTAAGGCCGAAGACAGTCTCATGCTAATTTTCTAAGACTCATATTTACCTATGAATCAAATGAACTATACATATAGAAAGAAAAGAAAATAGATTCAAGCTTTTTAGTCTTTAAAAATACATGCAAAAATCATATTTCTAGCTTTTCTAACAATCTTCAAGATGGATGAAATAAAAAATTAATAAACACATCTTTCAGAAACCTTAGTGTTCCTGCTGAGACTCGAGAATACAGAGTTCTTCACACAGGACTGGTCTTCAGAGAACTGTTTTGGAGGTGATTCAATAAGTAAACAAAGATAATTAGGAAGAAGAAAATGAGAGCACACGTAAATAATCACAAACGATCTCTAACGAAACTCACAACCCTCTACCAGAACAAAGCCAGCCTTGTACAGATATTACTCTGCCAAGAAACTTATTTCGTCTGTTCAATTTCCACCACTTCTCTCCACCACTCAATCAAAATATTATAGTTTGAACATCTAAGTTCTGCGAGAGCTCAAAGGAAGTTCATGACTCATTTCTGTCTCTTAAAGAGGGCACAATCGTCTGGATTGTGAATGCACAGGGAACAAAGATTATTGACAGAAAGAGGTAAAAACTATGATAAATGCACAAATATATCTCATTTATGGAAAGAGGTACTTCTGAATTATGGAGATGTTTATGTTGAAGCTCTCATCTGATTGTCTTAGAGAAGAAAGAAATAGATTACAGCCCAAAGGCCAGATCTAGCCCACTACTATTTTTGTATAGCCCATTCTTTGTATAGCTAAGAATGATTTCACATTTCAAAGTGGTGAAAAAGTCAAAATAAGGACAATATGTTGTGGCACACTCATGTCCTATTAAGTTTGTATCTCAATGTCCATAAATAAAGTTTCACTGGAACACAGGTATACTCACTTGGTTGCATATTATCTATGGCTGCGTTCATGTTACCATAGTAAAGCAGAGCAGCTGGGACAGGAATCACGAAGCCTGTAAAGCCTGACCCTTTACCAACTTTAAAATTTTTAAAAACTTTACCAACCCCTGTCTTAGAGGATGAGCAGCATTGGCGGTATTGTTGTTTGAAGTATTGCTGCTTTATACTCAAAGATATAGACAGCTTAAAGGAATGAAAGGCATTTTTTGCCTCCCAGCCTTGCAAGAAATTAGATAAACCATTATGACATGAGTTTGAATCACCTTACCTCTAATGGTTATTAATAATTTTCATGCTTATGAGCTGAAAATGGAAGTTCCCTGGATCTTCCTTAGGGAGTAGAAAAGGGAAATGGCTCAATTCTAGGGGAGAAGATGAGCCCGGGAGAATGACTGTGGGGCTGGTGGCTAAGGGCTTTCTGCAAGTGCTTTAGACCATATCTCTGTGGCACACACCATCACAGCCTTAGGAACTGTTGCATAAGATCCCTACACCAGTAAGTATCACAGAAGGAATGGAGCTTTCTACCTTCAAACGTAATCTAGTCTTGGCATTGAGCATCTCAGCAGCCACTGTGATGAACTGAAAACTAGAGAAAATTTCCCATTTTGGGGGCACTGGGTAAGCCACTTCCTATTAAATATATACTTAAGACTGAGATTGAATATTGATGCCAAATTAAGGAGCTAAAGTTGGAGTCAGATTTCATTTGATTTAAAAAATTAAATGTTTCTTAAACTCCAGCATTTTAACTGGTAACAATGGAGCTATTAATATAAGGACTTCTAGGGGTAGAACATAACATGAGCAAACCCAGAGCTGGACATATATGCTTGCAGGAGTGGGGCTGGGGTGATGTCATTGAAGATAGGCTGGTAAGGTGAGCTAGTGAATGACCTCACCAACCACAAAGAATTTATTTTACTATTACTTTGAAATATTTTCAAACCAACAGAAAAATTACAATAATAATACAAGCTTCTTTTCCTAAACCTTTTGAGAGTAAGTTACTGGTAAGATGCTCACTCATCTGCAAATACTTTAGTATTTCCTACACATAAGGAGATTCTCCCTTGTAACTACAATGCAGCCATCAAAACACCAGAAATGAACACGGACACATTACTACCATCTAATCCACAATCATCAATCAAATTCTGTCAATTGTCCTGATAATGTCTTTTATTTTTTTTTTTTTTTTTTTTTTTTTTGAGACAGAGTCTCGCT